GTTCCGAAGAGGAGCTGCTCGTGGGTTAGAGGCCTTGCTTACAGAGCCTCAGCAAAACATTGAAGCTGTCATCCCTGATGAGGAAGTGATCAGGTAAGTGCCAATACTTGTATATGGATTTTTACCAGTAGAAAATGTACTCTGCATTACTTTACTACATTCTTTACTGTGTTTAAGGTGTTTTTGCTTAGAAACATAAAGGCTGTGGTATAACTTAGTGGTATATTCAGTGGTATAGCCCTGCCTAGTATGTCTGGAACCTAGCATTAGTCCCTGGAATCCTAAGACAAAACTATCGTAATTAAGTCCCACTTATTGCTGGGTATAGTACTAGGGAGACAGAGGCACTTAGAGCTCTGAGTTTGAGGCCAGGCTGGTTCTAGGCCAGCAGGGGTAACATAGTGAGACCCTGTCTTTAAAAACAAAACAAAACGGGCCTGGAGAGATGGCTCAGAGGTTAAGAGCACTGACTGTTCTTCAGAGGTCCTGAGTTCAATTCCCAGCACCCAATGGTGGCTCACACCCATTTTTACCTTTTCTGGTATGTAGTCAGAACACTGTATACATAATAAATAAATCTAAAAAAAAGAAGAAAAGAAAAGAAAAAACAGGGGCTGGAGAGATGGCTCAGCAGTTAAGAACTCTGTCTGCTCTTCCAGAGGTCCTGAGTTCAGTTCCCAGCACCCAATGATGGCTCATACACATCTTTAACGAGATTTGGTACCCTCTTCTGATATGTAGTCAGAACACTGTATATATAATAAATAAATCTAAAAAAAGAAAAAAGGCAGAAACAGGGGCTGGAGAGATGGCTCAGCAGTTAAGAACACTACTCTTCCAGAAGTCCTGAGTTCAGTTCCCAGCAACCACATGGTGGCTCACAACCATCCATAATTCGATCCGGTGCCCTCTTCTGACCTGTAAGCATACATGCAGACAGAATACTATATACACAATAAATAAATAAATATTTTTTTTTAAAAAAAAAAGGCAAAAACAATGTTTAGGAGACATTAAGCAAAATCTCCAAGAGCCTGTGAGATCGTAGAGTATGAGGAAACAACCATAATCCTGGTCAGCTGTCAGACCTGGAGAATCAGCTGTGTGGGTGGAATGGATATACCGAATGTACAAACCCTTTGCTTCTGTCATACTGCCCAGCTGCCAAGCCACAGCCCTTTCCCCTGAAGAAAACTCTTCCTTGGTACTCAGAGGCCATGGTGATGCTTTAAGGCTTTCCTGGGCTCAGGAATAATGCTGGATAAATGGCTCATTCATGTGGTCAGACAGTCCTTGACTTCCCATTCCTCCCATGCTCATCACTTCATCACATTCCCTGTTCATTTGACGTGTGGCCTCCGGGTCCACCTGGTAGAAACTAAATTCCTAACAGCAGACTTGTGCTGAGTAAGTGAGCAGGTGGATAGCTTGTTCTCAGACTAACCCATGCATTCCTCTAAGGTGTGAGCAGCAATTCAAGGAGTGAGTGACATTTGGGATCTAGTCACCACTTTGCCCCAAGCTGCCAAGGCTGCCCTAGTCATGGGTCATTTAGCTTCCCTGTGGCTCATTCTCTGTTGCTTATAGAAGGCAGATAAGAATCTAAAGTTATCCTAAGAACACTAGTCCCCAAAGTAATTCTGAAAGGACTGCAGACGCCTCTCTCCTGCAGCCTCACAGTGTTCATTAGTGTCTGGGAAGTTTAACAAGCTGTGCTATCTCCAGAAATGCACTGGACAGATGGCGCTGTAGCTACTGAAGCAGGGGTTCTCTGTTGTGCTGGCTCCAAAAATGACATAATAGTTATCTAAGTTTAATTGGTAAATAACGTTTCTCAACTGATTTTGTGTTTTCTAATCTTTTTTAAAGGTGGTCAGAGTTTTTCATGGTATTTAAGCAACCTGTTTTAATTTTTATCACAGAAAAAGTAAGTGACATCTTCAATTTCTGGTCTTTTTGACATTTTAAAGTCACCTGTGTTATTTTTAAAACTAAAATACAGTTTTACTATCTCTTTTAGAAGGTTATTTCTTTTGTGACCCCTAAAGTACTAGTTATAATTATTTCTATGCCTAAATTAAACCAACATTTTTTAGCAAATTAATTCATTTTATTTTTATTGTATAAAAACCCCATGTGAAGCTGGATGGTGATGGTACATGCCTGTAATCCCAGCACTGGGAAGAATGAGGCAGGAGGATGAAGAGTTTGAGGTCAGCCTGGACTACATGTGAGACAGTGTCTCACAAGACAAGGGTTGGGGATGTAGCTCAATGGCACAGCTCTTGCTTACCAAGCATAACATCTCTGCAGTCCTCAATCGCCTGTAACTCACTTTGTAGTCCAGGCTAGCTTGGAACACATTGCATTTTTCTTACCTTTGCTTCCCAAGTGCTGGGATCACAGGTATATGCCACCACACCCAACCTGGGCTAGCAGCTTTTAGGTATTTATTGAAGTAATTAGAATGGAGCAATTACTAGTTTTAACACTTAACTGTAGTTAGTTAAACTAGGGATATTTACAAAATAATTTTTTTTCTTGTAGCATGGGAATTACTTTGCTTATGTACGATTGTGCAAATCACACAGCTTGAGCAAATACACACTCTTATTTGGAAAAGAAGAAAAATCTGTTAAACC